AAAAACCAGATAGCAGTCTTTGCAGGCCATATGGTCTCTGTGTCAACTACTCTACTCTGCTACTATGGTGCAAAAAACTGCCATAGACAATATGTATGAATGAAGAGAGCATGTTCCAATAAAGCTTAATTTCTGGACATTGAAATATTTCATGTTATTTTCACTTCATGAGGCTTTCTGCAACCATTTGAAAAGTAAAGAAAAACTCCTTCCTCACCGGTTATACAAAAACAGGCTAGAACTCACTTTTTATAAAAGCAATTTAATGGAAGAATTCAACAAAAGATACCAGATCAACTGGATATTGATGGAAAAGAGAAAGAGAACCACAAACTAAACCTTACACCTGCACAAAACTAACTCCAACAGATCACGATTTAAAAGTTAAAATTATAAAACTTTTAGAGAAAAAAAAAACAGGAAAAAAACCTTGGGACTTTAGATGTGACACTGAAAACATTATTTATTAAGAAAAAAAATCAACAAATTGAACTTCAACAAAATTTAAAACTTTTGCTTGTTTTACTTTGTGAAATATATTGTTAAGATGATATAAAGACAAGCGACAGACTGGGAAAAAAATACTTGCAGATGATGTCATTGCCAAAGGACTTGGGCCTGTAATATACAGATTGCTCAATAAAAAAATTCTTAAAACACAATAGTAAAAAAATTCATTTAGAAATGGGCAAAAGACATAGATATTTTACTAATGAGGATATATAAATGGCAAATGATGACATGAAAAGCTGATTGATATCATTTTCCATGAGACCATGATGAAAAACCACCCCACATCTATTGAAAGTGCTAAAATAAAAACAGCTAAAACAATACCAGATATTGTCAAGAATGTGAAAAAAACTTGATCTCTCATACAACATTAGTGGGAATGTAAACTAGTACACTCTAGAAAATAAAATGGTAATATGTTTAAAAAAAAAAAAAAAAAAAAAAGCTTACAATATGACCAAGCAATCACAATCCCCAGAGAAATGAAAATGTACTTCCATACAAGAATCTGAACATAATTGCTTGTAGAAGTTTTATTCATAAGAGGCCAAAACTAGGAACAACCAAAATGTCCTTCAATCAATAAATGATTCAATAAGGGAACGATGGTATATCCATACTGTGGAATACTATTTAGCAAGAAAAGTAGAACATTAATACACATACCACATAATGGATCTCACACCGTGGTGAATCTCAAGATTATAATACTGTACAATTCCATTTATATAATATTCTTAATGACAAAAGTATCAAGATGAAGAACAGATTAATGATTGTCAGGGGTTAGAGAAAGGAGACAGAGGGAGTACCTAAAACTATACAGGTATAGCACAAGGAGAATCTTTCTGGAGGTGGAATGATTTTGTACCTTGACTACAGTGGTGGTTACACTAATCTACCCATGGTAAAAATGCACAGCACTACACACTGTACAAATAAATATCAATTTCCTGGTATTGGTATTATACAATAGTTATGTAAGATGTAACCACTGAAGGAAACTGGTGAAAGGTAAGGACCTCTCTGTGCTATTTTTGCAATTTCCTGTGAGTCCATAATTATCTCAAAGTGAAAAATTAAAATACTTTCTAAAAATATGATGATAAGCAAAAGGAAGACATAGCTCTATAAGTAATAAGTGTCTATTCACTCTCCTTCAAGGACCAGGCATTAAAAATAATAAAAGCCAGTTTTTAAATAAGTGCCTACCATGAGCCAAGCACTATTTTTAGTGCTTTCTATACACTACCCCATTTAATCCACAAAATCTTATAACGAAAATGCCACAACCGCACTTTACAAATGGGAAAACTGAGGTTGAAAAGAGGTTAAAATAATTTGTTCATGGTCACACTGTAAGTGGTAAGAGCCACAATTTAAACTCAGATTAACTCTAGAGGCATGTTTCCTGTACACAAAGGTAACCAAAAAAACATATGGGGACGTTGGGGGGACGGGACTACCAAACTCTGTGTAAGTCTGACATCAAACCAGTTTGTTTTCTCCCTCAGTTAAAATAGAATTTTCAGAACTTTTAAAATACCAATGCATGTCAGGAATCTAGAACACCTACATTATAATTTTTCCCACTCAGCCAAAAGTTAAAATATAAAATGGCCTAATCTTAACCCATCCTTCTTCTTACATATTGGCAAACTACAATTTTGAGAGCTGTACTATCCAAGTAGTGGTAGCTACCAGCCAAATGTGGCCAATTTTAAGATAAGAATTAAATAAATTTAAAACTTCAGTTTCTCAGTCACACTAGCTATATTTCAAGTCCGCTCAAGAGCCACATATGGTTACCATATTAGACAGCACAGAAAGAGAACATTTCCATCATCTGAGAAAGTTCTATTCATCAGTACTGGATTAGAGACTTGTTTTTGTTTGCTTTTTTAAAGCACATGGGATGCACGCAATGTTCAGAGAAGAACAACTTCATTGCAACCATAAAAGGGGGTAAGGTCAGATCTTTAAAGTCAGGTACTGCCTACAATGTTTAGGCACAAGGAAAAGATAAGTAAAGAAGTGTGTGGGGGTGGGGAGGAATAAGAGAAAGCAAAATCATGCAGCTTGGCAATAAAGCTGAACTAAGATTCAGGAGTGTGGGTTCTACTGCCTATTAGGCCAATAATTGATTTAATTATTTTTTTTTTAAATATTTGTGCTTGGTACTAATTAACCATGAATTAATTAGATAAGTCTCTTCACTATTTTGGGCCTTGGTTTCTTCTTCTATAACACAAATTTAGAACAAAAAATTGCTAAGATTCCCTTTAGCTCTGTATGGATAAACACACACACACACACACACACACAAAGGTGGGGAATAAGTAAAAGATCATTGCATATTGGTGGTGGAAACTGGCACTCCTGTCAACTTACCACAAGTTCTATGCCTGAAGATGAAATTTAGATACCACAAAATGAAGATTTAATTCTAGTCAATAAATCCTTATTAAACAATCATTTGAACCTAACCGCAGTATTTAGAAGTAGCACACAAAAAACTGGATAGCTCAAAGTTAAGCAAATATGTGGAAAGAATGCAAGACTTCCAACATTTTAGATTGAAAAACTGGCGCATTAACATCTAACATTTTTCAATTTTTGTATTGAAAAATTGGCTAATTAACATTAACATTCACATATAACCAAACTGGAGATATAACGGATTATGTAATCATATATTAAGTACAAACAAATGACATAATCAAAAGCACACCTCATTTCTTCCACAAAGAATAAATAAATAATAAAAATAATAATAAATAAATAATAAAAAATAAATGCTACAGGTAATTAGGAAAAAGACACTAATTCTGGCCAACCTAATTTCTCTAGAACACACACTTAAATAGCCCTATATTTTCCAGGTTGAATATTCTTGAGGATTATTGGAATTACATAGATTCTCCAATTGTGCTATACAGAATAAAATACAACTGCAATTCTTGTCCCTTCTACCTACTACACACTTTCCTCTTTTCAGAAGTTCTATTGGTCCTATTTCCTAGGGTCAAATGGGAGAGAAAACCTTCCCCCCACCCCATCCGCATTCTAAGAATTAAAACAGCCAATTAAAAAAAAAAAAAAAGTTTAAGCGATGTTTACCTCTAAGTTAAAAAAAGAAAAGGAAACCGTGTTTGATTTTTTTTTTTTTAACCTTGCAGAAGCTAAGGCAACCAGTGAGTTGTGTAACCTCTGTAAGAAATCAAACTCATTGAAGTCCCGAACCAGACCCGTGAGTGTTTTGGAGCAGGAGGTAGTTTAAGGAAGGAAAAAAGAAAGAAAAAGAAAAAAAAAAAAAGGTTTCCAGGAAGGAAAACAGGGAGAAGAGATTTTAGAGACAAGCCTTTACTTCAAAAAGGCAGTTTTTAGTTTTCCACCTATTAATCCAAAGCCAAGAACCGCGCGGCGCGGAAACCCTGCGGATTTTGAAAACAAACGTTCCGAGGCTCCGGGGGATTGCGAAGGGGGCTGGTAACTGACAGCTCGGCCTCGGAGCGAGAAGCCTCAAGTAGGTCAAACCGTGACCACGGCCTGAAGTCCAGAGTCCAGCTCAGTGGGCTCAGGGGAGAAGAGCAGCAGAAGGGAATAAGGGTTAGGCATCTTTCAATCCTAAAGGGGCGGGATACCAGAACCAAGGGACCTAGAACCCCAGCCCCAGCAGTTCGCCAGCTCTCACCTCTCTTGGGGCCCTTGATCAAAGGCACCCCTCCAGTCCTCTCGCCGTTTTCCTGCTTGTCCTTGTGCTTGAGATCGCCCGGAACGCAGGAGCTGGGGTCACCATCAGCGCCGCGGTGGTGATGGTGCTTGTGCCGCTCCTTGTGGCCCTTATGCTTGGGCCCGGCCGCGCTCACCGTCAGGGGCGAGAAGGTGAAGAGGGCCGAGGTGCCTGGGGCCGGGAGCGGAGCAGCGACAGCGGGCCCGGCGGCAGCCAGCGAAGGTGGCGGCGGAGGCGGCAGGAGCAGAGGCTCAACAGGGCCCTGGACGGTTGGGGCAGCATTCGTTGGCGGCAGCGGCCCGGGATGTTGGCGACTGCGACGCCGCCGGTGAGGGGGAGCGAGAGGGGGGTCCTGGCTCGGCCGCCCCCGCTTCTCCTGAGACCCCCCACTGCTTGCCCGGCGCTGCCGCTTCACTCCCCGCGGCGAGACCCCAGCATGGGGTTTCTCCTTTCCCTCTTTGTCCGGCTCCTCCTGCGCCGCCACCGCCCGTACTACGCGCACTGCTCCGACCTGCGCAGCCATTTCACCCACAAACACACATTTAAATGGCCCGACCGCCCCCCCGTCCGTGTATCGCGCAAGCGCCGCCCGCGAACGGCCCGCTGGGCATTGGAGTCTCTCCCCCACCCTCCACTTGTCGGCCGCTCTTCGTGAGGAGCTGAACATACCGGAAGCTGCAGTTCCCAGCGCTTCTCCGCAGGCCTCTCCAACCGAGCTTCTATTGTAAAGCGTCCTGGGCCGCGCAAAGCCTCGCGGGAGCGGTAGTTCCGCCGCGCCCCGCGCCCCGCGCCGCGTCCCCGGCTCTGTGAGTGGAGGAGCCGCGAGGGAGCGTGCGCCGAGTCACGCTTCGGGCTGCGACGCAACCGCCGCCAGCCGGCGAGTTGCCGCCAACCGCCTTAACGGCCCAAACAATGTTAGTGGCTTTCAGTGTGGCGGCGCGTTCACATTATCGTCTTCCTGTCCCTTTCGTCATTTGATACGGAGTAGGTGGTCTCCATAGTGACTTTTAAATTTCACATTTCTTTGATAACCTTTGTGAGGTAAAAGAATCTCCGGCCTTTTACCCTTGACAAAACGAAGGGGAAAAGAGGAGTTAGCACTTGTGTAAAAATGACGGCAGTTTTGTTCCCAAATGTAAAGGGGCTGCGAGTCGGAAGTGTTCGGAGGCATTTGCTTTGGTTACTACGAAGGCAGGTGCACGAACCGCTTGGGAGCCGGGTGAGTGCGGTCCCCCCTCGCCACCAGCCGCAGCCCCGCGAATGCAGAAAAGGTAGAGTCCAGCACTTATTTTGAATATACCCCTACAGCTGGCGGGGGGGGGGGGGTGAAAATTAGAAAATTGTAACAAGATTTTCTTTTGAAGTCCTAGGTATTAAGTTGCACAAATTTGAAAAGTGTCTACCAGAGAACCCTCCAAAAATCGTCACTGTTCACCAAGGGGCGGTTGTTGCTCAGAAATTCATTAAGAAACTCATCACTTGGGCATTTGCCTAAGATTCTTTGAATGTATGTGGTCCTTGACAACGATATTATTGGTTACAATGATGTACTCGGTAGATAAAATTACTGTGGTTTGATACCACCAATTCCTGGAAAATATTTACTTCGGCTAAAAGAACACTAATGCATTGAAGTTAGTTTAAAAACAAAAAGTTTATTTTCTACCTATTGGGTACATTGTACTACAATACACAGGTAACAATGTATCCTTCAGTTTGCCCTATAATTAGCCTTGTTAATGAAAAATATTAAGAGCAAATGATATGTAATACTGTTTCTAAAAGTTAAACTTTTTTAAAACAAGAGGTTACGTCATTAGGGAAAGTACGAGGACTCCTTTGTAATAATAATGATCTTCTAACTTATTGGCTACATAAAATTAGGTTTGAAATACCACATTTTGTTAAGACAACTCCATGTTTATACAGAAATTTAAACTATCAGTACCTTTGGTTGGATATAAATTGCAAATATTTATATAGAATATTTTATATGAAGATGTTAACAAAAGATAGCTATTTCATTGATTACTTTTCTAGGACTGGGAATTGAGTAACTTTGGTTAAAATTTACCCCAATGTACATTATATAATGTCTTGTTAGTTGGTAAAGCCAATGTTAAAAAATGAGTATTATTATTTGCACATTTTATTCTCTTAAATATAACTTCTTACTACTCTGCTTTCCCACAATATTTGGGAAGATATGTGAAGAATAATCCATTTAGGTAAAAATAACTCCCCAAAAATAGTTATTGTCAGAAGCAGTAGTTTTGTACAACTGCAAGGTCAGATTTTTTTTTAACTTCTTTTTTTTCTTTTATACTAAACTCTGACAGTGTAAAACTTCAATTGAGGTCTGGTTCTTACAAACCTCTTAAATTTACATTTATGCTAGGTGAGGTGGTGTGTACCTATAGTGCCATCACTGGAGAGCTGGGTGGTAAGAGCACTTGAGACCAGGCAGAGCAGCATAGCAAAACTCAGACTCAAGAATACCCAAAACAGACAGCCTTGGTGGTGCAGGTCTGTAATCCCAGTGTCTCTGTAGGCTGAGGCAAGAAGATCCGGAGTTCAAAGCCAGACTCAGCAACCTATCAAGGCCCTGAGCAACTCAGCAAGTCTCTGTCTCTAAATAAAATATAAAAAGGGTTTGGGATGTGGCTCAGTGTTTAAGCACCCCTGAGTTCAATCCCCAGTACCAACAAAAGAAACCCCCAAACAAAAAATGTGCATTTAAATAGGATAACTTCCAAAAATGAAAAAGAAATCTGCCGCAGTCTGGCTGGGCACAATCAGGAGCCACTTGTCAAAAGAAACTAACTTTATTTTTAGAACCACACACGCCAAACAAAACAGCCTCTCAGGAAAAACCCTCAGAGCCTCAACTGCCACCACCGGCTTTCCACAAGCCTCTCTCTCCCACCCCAGCTTCTCTCCACCTCCCACAATCCTCCTGCTCTTGAGGCTGATTGGCTGGGTCACGTGGGCGGAGCCAAAAAAGTCCCCCAATGAGCAGCTCCGTGGTCTGAAAGGGCAGGGAAACAGCCCAATGAGCATCACCGCAGAGGAGCCAATCAGCTAGATGTTGCTGGGGCCGAGGAGCCAATCAGCTAGATGTTGCTGGGGCCGCTGTGAGCCAATCATCAGCCAGCAGCTGGAAGTTTGCTGGCAGCTGGAAGTTTGCTGGGGCCCCTTTGGCTGTGGCTCTCAACAGAAATCCATTTTAAATTTTTTCATATAGCATTCTCTACAACATAAGCTTAAATCACAACCTTTTATTTGCAGTTTCCCATCCAATGTAAGATATGAAAATACAAAATTGCTGGCATTTTTTTTTTCATATTGCTTTTCTGTTAAAAACCACTAACACATTAGCATATCTTCATTTTTTAATATTATGAATATTTAGCATTTATTTTAGCTAGTGTATTCCAGTAGTTTTATTGCAGATGCAGTCTATATTATAAATTCAGAGTTTATCAAATGTTCCAAGTTGGTGGTGGGTTCCTTGGTCCTTTGGGTTTTAAAAAACGATTTGCAAAACCTGGAAACAAAAATAAAATGGAATGAAATGGATTTTTTTTAATAGAAAGATAAATTTTAGACTATTATATGCAGATTCATGGATTATTTTCAAAGGGTGAAACAGCATCTGAGCAATTTAATGATAGATTATAAGAGCATTATAGTAACTAAAGCTTAAGTGATAACAATACAATACTTTTTTAAATTTTTTATTTTATTTTTGTGGTGCTGGGATTTGAACCCCAGGGTCTTATTATATGTTAGACAAGTGCTCTACCCACTGATATACACACCCAACCCAAATATTCATATTTTAAATGTGTAGAGCACATTTAGTATGTAAATTTAATAATAGTAATAATTGAATAAAGAACCCTGGTTAAAATAGCCTTTGATAATTTAGTGCATAATAGCATTTATCTAAATTCACTCCCCCTACTACCACAAAGAAGAAGGATGAGGAAATCTTTCAAAGAATCAAAGCTACTGAGGAAGGAGGGAAGGGAAAGAGAAGTTAGTGGGGAAGGGAACTAACCAAACTATATTGTTATACAGTGTGTGTTACAAATATGTAGCAACAAATTCCAGTATTATAATGCATCAATAAAAAAGTTGAAAAAAAGAATGAAGGCTACTTCTTGATGCTTTCAAAAGATTTTTAGGTTGATAACGTTCTTTATCCCTTATAATATTGTCTTGTCTTTGATGGTGGTATATTTTCAAGGTATCATAGCACTTAGCAACTTTAAGTGCTTAAATTGAAAATGAAAGGTTTGGAATACAGAGAGAACAAATAATAGAAAATTCAGATATTCCTGAACTTTTAATTTCATCATCTTACTTAATAACTACTCATAAGTTACCTAAACCTAAATCTAAAACAAAAACTATATCAGAACTAGAAGAGTAGAGATGGAGAAAAGAAGATTTAAAAAAAAAAAAAGGAAGGAAACCACTAAAAATTATGCAGTGATTTAAAATATTGGAGAGGGGGCTGGGGATGTGGCTCAAGCGGTAGCAAGCTCGCCTGGCATGCGTGCGGCCCGGGTTCGATCCTCAGCACCACGTACAAACAAAGATGTTGTGTCCGCCGAGAACTAAAAAATAAATATTAAAAAATTCTCTCTCTCTCTCTCTCTCCCCCACTCTTTCTTTAAAAAAAAAAAAATAAAAAATAAAAAAAATAAATAAAATATTGGAGAGGAATGCACAGCCTACTTGATGTACATTTTACTCTGATAACAAGAAAAATGATTCAGGTTAAGTAGCTGCACATAATAGTCAAAATCATCTCATCAATAAATCTTGACTGTAACTCAAGTAGGTTGGGAATAAAAGGATGTGTTTCCTGACCACTTCAAGTATCTTAAATTTCAGTGATTATATATATATTATATATATGTATGTAATTCAGTCTCTTTCACTGGTCAGTTCTCAATAGTGTTGAGAAGCCTTTTTCTCTTTTTTTTCCCTGCATGTGAGTCATTTCAGGAAAAATAAACCACAATTTTGAGTAGCATATCCGTATAATTTTATTGCCTCTTATAAAAGGTAGCAAAGAAAAATACATGCTGCTTTTCAAATAGGTAAATTATTCAAATCTAGGCATATTTGAAAAGAAGCACAGACTGTGTTGTAAAGTTAGGTGGACCTTAAGTTACTCAAGTGGGATCACTAATTTAAAGAAAAGAAATAGAAAACATTTATGTCCCAGGCAAAGTTGGGTGCCTCTTCCATAGTTTATTCAATATTCTAAATGAATGTTTTCAACTAAATTATTTTGTACAACCATAACTTGTTAAAAGTATAATATTTTAAACTAGATAAAACTTAATAGCCAAAAAGCAGCTCCAGAGATTCTAATTAAAATATTTTCTCTAAGTGAGATAGAGGCCATAACCCAGGTGCTGCTTCTGCACCAAAATCTTTCTCTGCTTCTTCCTCAGAAATAAAATTACATTGTGTAGGGCTGTGGCTGTGGCTCAGTAGCAGAGCACTTGCCTTGCAGTGTGGGGCACTGGGTTCAATCCTTAGCACCACATAAAAAAATGTTATGTCCATCTATAACTAAAAATAATTTCTTAAAAAGTTACACTGTATATATCTGCTCAGCAATATTAACACTTGCCAGTCTCTTATAATTTAGTTATGTCACATCTAAGTTCTCTTCAAAGGAATATGAGCTGACATGATATTGCTACATAAAGCCAGTGTCTTAAGACCAGAAGAGGAAGAAGAAACCACATCTCTTGGTATTTGAAGTTGTTTCATACTATAAATGAATATTTTACAAGATTTTTAAAAACTGCTGTAAAATAGCACATACCAAAATTCAGAAAGGAGCTTGAGTTATTTGGCTGAATAGATTCTGCAGGCTTGCTTGGTGGGGAAGAACTACAGATATCTGTAATGAAAAGAAAAAACACAAGGGAAAGAATGAAGATAGATTACTATTTATCAAAGTGCATATTGTTGAGATTAAACATTTCTTCCAGAGTAACCAGCACTTCCAAATAAATACATCGGCATCAAATGTTAAAATATAGATGTTTATAGATAGGTTGACATTATAATCTCGTTTATGTGATGTTTCTTTTTTTAAAAAGGGTTTTTTTTGTTTTGTTTTGCATAACACTATTTAGTAAAGCCCAATACTAAGGGAAATTACCAAAGGAATAAGAACCATCATATATAATTAATCAATTTCTTGGGAGATTCAGATTTTTGTCTTTGAACTTCCATCTTATTTTATGTACTCTTAGTACACTCCTAGATATCCACATTAATTTATGGCAAGTCTGATTTTTCTTAACATTATCCTCTATTCCTGGAATCTCTTTCACTGTTCACTCCACTTTCCAGCCTACTTTTTTCCCACCATAGATAATTCTAATTTAGGTTCATAGTCTTCCACAAGCACTGTTGTGCAGCTTTGTTTTGCTATTTTAGTTACTTATATGTAGGCTTAAAAATATAATTGTCTTCCCAGAACTTCAATATGTACATGTATCAGTTTCTACCCAGTTTTGAAAACAATCCAGTGAAAATTTTGCTCCACATTTTGCATATGCACTGTCTTACAGTGAAAAAGGGTAATTTAAGGTTTGTGTATACTTTCTGACAAAGAGTATATAAATGGAAAGAAATTATTAATTTTTTTTGTTTTTTTGTTTTCAGCACTTCAAAATGCAATGCAAAAAGTGTTTGCACATACATAAATAATACTAGGATTCTAGAAACACCTTGCCCTTTTGAGACATACTAGAATACAAATTACTGGAATATATAGTAGATTTCAATCATATTCAGTTAACTAATACTTAACTATCTCAAACATTGGCACTAAGAATAGACATAAGGTGAGGAAGTTCGGAGATATTAGTAATCTGTAGATTTGCATGTAAACTCAGAGATGTAAACATCCCTCAGAAAGAAAAAAAAAACTATCCCAAAGGGAAATATTGATTTATTACAAAAGAGGCAAAGATTCTGCATGTGTCTATTAGAGTGAACTAGCTTATCTAAGGTATTTTTATGGTATCTGCCCTACATGCATTCCCTCTTCTGAAAATAGAACTTGAATTTTCCTTTTCATCCTTCCCTAATTTTCAGTTTTCTACATTTCTGGTGAACTGATTCTATTTTTAGATCAATGAAATGACTAATAACTAGGTTCCATTTTCATTGTTTTGTACTTGGTACATTAGCATGGTCATACCAGATTTGTAGGTCTGATCTCTCTCCTGATTAATCAGTGTCCACGTGTAACAACTGTTAAATATCAGATAGGATGTTGTTCTGCCTAATATTGAATATATTGGTAAGAACTGATTCAGGAATGGGCAAATGGACCAAGCCAAGACAATCAGACCCAATTAGCACTGGTCATCAGACTGTTGCTTGAGCAACCCAGAAAGGGCTAATCTTTTTCTTTTTCTTTTATTATTTTCTTTTTTCTGACACAAGCCTAAAGCCACATGGTAAAATCCTGCCTATGAGTATGCTATCACAGAATGAAACAAATCTGCGAGTTATGGAATGAGAAATTATGTTCTGATTATATCATTCAAACCCGTGGTTAAAAGCCAATTCTGCTTTAATCAGCTCAAGTTGGGTTTTCTGTCACTTGCAACTATATTTCTTTTCTTCTTTTGTACCGGGTATTGAACCCAGGACATTCTAATATAACCTATAAGAATCTAACTACTTCTCCCCTGTCTTTCCATCATTCCTGACTTAACCTTACTTTTCTCTCTTCTTTCCTTACTGCTCTGCTGCTCTGATGGCTTCATTTGAGTTCCTACAGCATACAAAACTCTCACACCTCAGTTTGTACATAATGTTCTCTGTATCTAGAGTCATCTCCCCATTCTTTGCCTGGCTAGCTGTTCCTTCATGTCTCAGATTCAACTGTCATTTCCTTAGAAAGTACTAAGTCCTGGGCCACCTCTTCTAAAGTGGATCCCCTGTGTTTTTCTCTCTATAATTCTTTTGTTTTCCTTCATAGCATTTATCACAATATGTTTTGTACACATTTGTGAATTCACTTGTTTGATATCTGAATCCCTCACTAAACTTAAATTCTAAAAAAAGTCCAGGTCTGGGGATGTGGCTCAAGCCGTATCGTGCTCGCTTGGCATGCGTGCAGCCCGGATTTGATCC